CGGTTTGTCATGGAATTCTTTGAAGAACCATGTAAATACCATGGTATATAAATATTAGTTCAGTATATCAAATTACCGGAGTAATATCTTCTGATAATCACTGTACAATGGTACTGCCACAGTACGTTTTTTTTTCAGCAAGGTTGAGTCATCACAATAATCTTCAACTAATTTCAAAGAAAACTAATTATACACAATCCACAGAACCTAATGACAGGTCACAGCTCTTCTGATCAAGACCGGTGGCTGTTCCTCTCAGACGAGTGTGTGCACTTAAGCAGGAAGCAGTTCCAAAGATCACAGTGTAGTGTACAGTCAACACAACAAATACTCCAGAGCTAATTAAGCATGACCGAAAAGCCTTGCCCTCACGAGAAAGCTCACAAACAACCTTCTGTTACACACTCATCCACTGTAACTGAATTAGATCACAAGAACCTGTAGATGAGTGACCAGTTCGGCAGTAAGGTGGGGGTGGCGTATCAGACTGGACTTCTTTAAAGGGGCCCCAGCAGCCATGAGCTGATGGATGGACTGTCGTTAACTGGATGGGTCATTTGCAATGGCTCTATCTCAATAGGCTATTTCATCAGAGATCATTCCATGCAGAGACTATGAAAAGTCCTTCAAACCAGGACTAATTTCCATTGATAAATCCAGCACAAACACTGCTTACTAGACCAGTCTGTGGATGAAAAAAATCACTATATGATATGCAGATTTTTTTTTTTTGATTCAATGAAAGTAAATGGGGTCCAGTATTATTTTGGATCCCACTGATTTTTTAATTGCATAGACAAAAACGTCTAAATATGTTCTTTGAGTGTTTTTCAGAAGAAGAAAAAAACATACAGGTTTGGAATAACATGAGGATGAGTAAATGGCAGAATGTAAAATTTTGCATGTACTATCCCTTTAAAATTCAGGTGCATCTAAAAGCTTTTGGATTTTCCTATAACCACAACACAACTACAATCATATCACAATCAGCTATTAGCTTTTATACCGATTATTTTCATTGACGTGGGAGGATACTGAAAATAAGACATGACAAGCACCATGGACCAGCTGAGTCTGCATAATCAATCCTCTAGCCCATCTCTATTACTTTTTACACACACCGATTCAGAATTACCATCATTATTCAATTAGGGGGCCTCAGTTAAAACAGGCAGAGCTTGTGCAAGTGACAATTCCTGTGTCAACTGTGCAGCGTGCACAGAAAGTTTTCAAATTACTTCGTAAGTTATTTAATGAAGAAATATGATTTGTACCTCACCATCAGTATTATTTTACCTGGGCCGGACAGAGATTGAGACGGTGCCACTGCATGTCATGCCAAACCTCTCAAGGCAGGCGCATCGTCAGCTTGAGATCGGCCTTTATAGAGACCGCCGATCAAACTTCCCAAAGCGATTATCGGCAGATAGCCATCGGTAGCCAATCAATCGGAGCACCCCTAAAATAAATGCAGGCTTGGTGCGCATAACACAAACTTTGAATAGTAGTGAACAACTGATTTCACTGGCATCAATAATATTTCATAACTGGCAATCACTGATAAATATAACATTTGATTTGTCAGAAAATTCATAACTCTAATTTCAGCACAAGTTCAACAATAAGGAAACATAACTAAAACGAACAAAAATTACTTTGGTATTACTGTTTTTTTTGTTTTTTGTTTTTTTTCGATAGAGATACTGTCACGGTTTGTCATGGAATTCTTTGAAGAACCATGTAAATACCATGGTATATAAATATTAGTTCAGTATATCAAATTACCGGAGTAATATCTTCTGATAATCACTGTACAATGGTACTGCCACAGTACGTTTTTTTTTCAGCAAGGTTGAGTCATCACAATAATCTTCAACTAATTTCAAAGAAAACTAATTATACACAATCCACAGAACCTAATGACAGGTCACAGCTCTTCTGATCAAGACCGGTGGCTGTTCCTCTCAGACGAGTGTGTGCACTTAAGCAGGAAGCAGTTCCAAAGATCACAGTGTAGTGTACAGTCAACACAACAAATACTCCAGAGCTAATTAAGCATGACCGAAAAGCCTTGCCCTCACGAGAAAGCTCACAAACAACCTTCTGTTACACACTCATCCACTGTAACTGAATTAGATCACAAGAACCTGTAGATGAGTGACCAGTTCGGCAGTAAGGTGGGGGTGGCGTATCAGACTGGACTTCTTTAAAGGGGCCCCAGCAGCCATGAGCTGATTGTAATGCACTGCTATTGTAATGCACTGCTAGGTGGTTGTCCTGCATCTTCAATAAACAAGCTACAGGTAGTCCAAAATGCAGCGGCTAGAGTCCTTATAGGCTATTTCATCAGAGATCATTCCATGCAGAGACTATGAAAAGTCCTTCAAACCAGGACTAATTTCCATTGATAAATCCAGCACAAACACTGCTTACTAGACCAGTCTGTGGATGAAAAAAATCACTATATGATATGCAGATTTTTTTTTTTTGATTCAATGAAAGTAAATGGGGTCCAGTATTATTTTGGATCCCACTGATTTTTTAATTGCATAGACAAAAACGTCTAAATATGTTCTTTGAGTGTTTTTCAGAAGAAGAAAAAAACATACAGGTTTGGAATAACATGAGGATGAGTAAATGGCAGAATGTAAAATTTTGCATGTACTATCCCTTTAAAATTCAGGTGCATCTAAAAGCTTTTGGATTTTCCTATAACCACAACACAACTACAATCATATCACAATCAGCTATTAGCTTTTATACCGATTATTTTCATTGACGTGGGAGGATACTGAAAATAAGACATGACAAGCACCATGGACCAGCTGAGTCTGCATAATCAATCCTCTAGCCCATCTCTATTACTTTTTACACACACCGATTCAGAATTACCATCATTATTCAATTAGGGGGCCTCAGTTAAAACAGCCTCAACTTAAACCACAGCCACCAGTCTGATGGACAAACAGAGGGAGCTCAGAGAAGCCTGAAGAGAAATATTGCAAATAAAAAAGCAAATATACCTAAGACGAAATGTCATTTATAACCCTCAGTATACACTTAACAGGTGGTGCAGAGTATTTATGTGAGCAACCCATCTTAAATAAGGAATTGATAGCTTAAATATTTTTTTAAAATAATTTATTAAACAACATCTCAAAATATATTTTTAATTAAACTGTGCTCATTAGTTGTGGAGCATGAAAGATACATTTTCATATATGAATGAAAAAAATCATATAGCCTATGACATCTTAAACAGAGTGACATTTTGTTTTGTCATAAAAAAATAACTACTTAAAAAAAGATACATCAAATACTGGGGTAGGCCTTGAATCAGAGCTATGACGCAGGTGTAAAAGAGTTCATAGACACATGAGGTCAGATATGTTTTTATGGGCACAGGAATAATTAAACTGGAAGCAGATAGTCTAGTCTGTGGGAAATTACTCTAGCTAAATACATGGCTCAAGGCAAGAGAAGAAAAATTGATCTCAACAACAGATATTCGGTGGAGGTTGCCAATTTGTAAATGTGACTGCATGAGTATTCATTCATTTGATTAACAACCAATTATAAGTACAAAGGGAGTGGGGAGAGAGGGGGGAAAGTGTGTGTGAGTCAGAGAGAGAGGGAGATTATTAACATCTGAGTGTGACAAAGAAAAAAGGAGGAGCTAGGACAGCAGTATAGTGTGGCACAGATGAAAGGCCATTTGGATCTGGCCCCCTACTGCCCACCTCTGTGTGCGCTCCCTCTAAAGTGTGTGTGTTTACGCCAACACATTACACCACACCACAGCTAAATTTACCATTTGTTACGAAAAACACTTCCAATTGCATTCGTAATTCATAAGAAGGTCCAAAGGAAGATGTTTATGCCTTATAATATCCGTATGTCGATCTTGAAACTTTACGATGGAGGGTTGGCGCATAAAACATATAATTAATGTGAAATTGGCATGAATTTCACACACACTACGGGGTGTATACATAATCTGCCTGATTCTGGTAGCGCCAAATCATTGTATAGTGCATTTAATGGTCTGTCTTTACAAAAACACACGGTTAGATATTTATAAATAAAAATGATTTGCTTATAAAATGAACCAAATCACACAATACCCCACATTCATATAAAAAGCTATAGTTGTAAATTAGATATACACTTCCATTTTTAAAACTAGAAGAATTTTCTAAACTAATAACAATTTGGGATAATAAATGTAGGCTACACATTGTCTATTTTTAAAATGCAGATGATCATACATTGGACTACTGCAGATGTTTCTGATGAGGGAACAATGAACACCGATTAAAGTAAACAATAAATCTTTCAAATGCAGTTTTAAATCTGTTCATTCATACCACATAAAACCTTTACATGAATGAATGCACACAAGCAATTGTAAAGGCTGTCATTACGTCAACATGTTTTTAAAAGTAAACAGCGCAAACCATGCAAAATAAGCATTAAGGTAGGCTTATTAACAGAAATGCACAGTAGTATATGATAGTACACAGGACTTGCATCTATCCTAAATAACGTGCACTTTATGTCACTATTTTTAACAGATGATCATACATTGGACTACTGCAGATGTTTCTGATGAGGGAACAATGAACACCGATTAAAGTAAACAATACATCTTTCAAATGCAGTTTTAAATCTGTTCATTCATACCACATAAAACCTTTACATGAATGAATGCAGACAAGTAATTGTAAAGGCTGTCATTACGTCAACATGTTTTTAAAAGTAAACAGCGCAAACCATGCAAAATAAGCATTAAGGTAGGCTTATTAACAGAAATGCACAGTAGTATATGATAGTACACAGGACTTGCATCTATCCTAAATAACGTGCACTTTATGTCACACTTTCAAAGTTATTTAATATAAATAGAGCAAGCCAAACTCTCTAAAAAACATTATAGATTAGACATTTAGAAAAGTGCACTAAAAGACACAGGCTGAAGTTTTAAAAGTGTGTTTTATTACCTGCATTGTGAGAACACCCAGCTCCTGAGTAGACAGCTTCTTCATCTTCACTGCCAAAACTTGAGCCTCTTCCAGGATCGAAAACTCACTATCCGCACCACAAAATCCACCACAAACAACCAGCAACCTTGAGCCTCTTCCAGGATCGAAAACTCACTATCCGCACCACAAACAACCAGCAACAGGGCGACAAGGCTCCACTTTGAAATCTCCAGGTTATTCCAGTATGATCGGGAGTGTGTGCTCCACGCCGCGAGAGAGAATCGAGATCCTGTCCGCGCACGACTCGCCATTATGGCTCGATGCGCTCCTGCACGGGAATAGCGAAAAACTTCACCGATTACTTCCCAACTTTCCCTTTTCACTTCTCCCACTTTCCGAACTCCAGCAGGGTAACTAAGTCGCATCAAGGCATAGTTTTAAAAACTCAAACGCTGGTAAAGAGGGCAGCATTAGTTTCTTTGGCTGTTGGCGCTGGGTAAAGTGAGTGTGTGTGCGAGTGTGTGTGTGTGAGCCGGAGCATCACAATAGGAGTGAAAAGCAGGAGGCGCGCCATCCAAACACCGTCATGGATTCTGCAGAGCAGCTGGATTTGGATTTAATCCTGTATGTTCCTTTCGGTTTGGGGTCCCAGAGTTCGTCTGAAGTATTTTCAAAATTCAAAACCTCCTATTTTGCCTTCAAATTGTCATGTACCAAGTTAAAACTAAGTAGACAAATCTGATTAAGGCGTTAACCCTGTTTATAACACAAAGTAGACATAGCTACACTTTTCAAAAAGGTGACTTTTATGTTAGGCCTACTTTATAGAAGATTGTAGAAAAGTAATGACACTTGTGTTTGGGGTCAATCTGATACCAACAACATCCTGTAGAAAAATAAAATGAACAAAAAAAAAAATAATAATAAAACAATAGCTAAACAAATTCAAATAAATGACTGAAAAATGTCTACTGCTACATTGTGTGTCAGTGATGAAGGGGCAATATTTGGACCATATAATTCATTTTCAGAAGCATTTTACCTTTTTTTCTAAAGAACACACACAGCACATCATCTGTTGAAGTAGTTTCTTAATCTAAACGATTAAGGCTTACATATAAAATCAAATCACCAACAAATACAAAAGTAGCTGTAAATTATACACAATATTTAATAACGCAACATTCTGCTAGAACACATTGTAAATAATGTCTGCAGTTGGCATTAGCAAAATACAATATTATAAAATTATATCTAAATATCTAAATAAAATGAATGCATGAGTGAAATATTTGGGCATTTTGTGTCATTGAATCCTGTTTATTATCTGACTCGGGTGTATATCAATCTGAGAACAGCATATTGAAATTAACATTTTTTAGATGTAGCAGTCTTTTCAGTTTCATTAAATTAGTTTAAGTCAAGAAGGATCAACCAGATATTTAAATGAATGCATGTGAGCTATCAAAAGGGGTTTGAGGTTTTTTCAGACCCAAAACAGCATGAGGGTTAATCAAGAATACATTCGAGATGTGGCCTAAATCTCTTGAACATCTATTTGCTTAGGAATCTGCATGTTATTGCAAAACTTTCATGTTTTGCAAAAATGCAGTGCCTCAGTCATAGCATGACAGGAGCATGTGTGGTTTGTGGGGGCATTACTGAGATGCATGCATGTGCCAACCTCAAAAAAGCACTGACTACTCCAATAAGTAAAATGGCAAATATGTCAGCTGAATAGTGTGGTAAGGGGGCCTATATTGAGAATGGTGAGGTGAACTCCAAGTGTGAGGGAATTAATGGTTATGTATTTTATGTAATTTAAAGCTAAGATGCATAATAATGTGGTCTGACCTGTGGTTGAGGGCCATTTAAAGCAGAACACATTCATTTTGGGCAACTGAGGATACATTGGTTCTGTTGAACGAAAGCAGCCTGCAGGTTCCTTATTATCGTTTCTCTCAAAATAATGATAGGAATTATGTCTAAAACCTCACTTTTCTCTAGAATGAATCTCTGTGCTACATTACCTTATATGAAGTAGTGTCATTAAAATCTTTTTAAAACGTTTTGATATTTTAATGAGAGAGAGAGTGAGGATTAATTAGATAGGTGTTAATAAATATTTTACAGTTTGCTTTATATAAGCATGGTGTGATTTGGAAAACCTTGCCAACTGAGCTGGAATTTAAGGGATGGATAATATCAGCCTCAGCTGCAGCTGTGTGGGGTGATTTGCAATTACTTCTAGAGACAGTTGAATATAATGTACGTATGGAAAAATGCATGATTATGAAAAGACAATTAGCTTTATGTGTCTTTAAAAGTGTATATAGCATGGTGACCAACAAGTTCTTTTTGAATTACTTGAGGACAGTTTGGTCACCGCCAGGGGCGCAACGGGTTAGAAGAGAGCAGCGCAGACTGCTTTTCCTCATGGACAGATGGATTTCTAGTACTTGGAGAACAAATTAAAATTCATAAAACATGTAATACATATTTTATTTGTGAGGTGAATGGTCCATCTTCAAAAAGATCAGGGGCTTTTGGCAAAACATCAGGGGCTTAAGACTCTGTTTTTACTTGTGCTTAACAAACCCACCACTGTAAAATTGGTTTCATGTGTTCAATTTCGTCTGGTCTCTTTTGTATCTTTGTATTTACTGATTTATTATGCTACCCAGTCTTAGATTAATTGCCCTGAAGAACCCCTTCAATTGCAATCTAAAAAAGGCCTTCAGCTGAGTCAAATTAAAAGCTGTCCACTTTAATCTTGACAAGTATGTGTCTAAATATAAGATTTTTCCCAGTAACCAATACAGAAAAACAAGGTTTCATTGAGTTTAAGCAAATTGACTGAAGTGCTTCAAAGAGATAATGAATGAGATCAGCTGAGATGGTTCCCATTCTAATGTGGTTGTAAGAATATTGGCTGCTTAGCCAGATGTGGAGTCATATCCATTTTTTGTATATGTAAAATATAATGTAATATGTAAAAAAAAAAAAAAAAAGAAAAAAAAGAATATTGAATGTAAACTAAAATGTATGTGTGTGTGTGTGTATATATATATATATACACACGATGCATTAATAGTCTGGAGGTGAAAACTTTTTTAATTTGAAGATCAGGGTAAATTGAACTTATTTTGTCTTCTGTCTATATTATAAAAATATTTTATTATATACTGTATATAAACTATTTATAATATACATTTACTTTATATATTATATATTGATGATACAATAAATATCATTCAAATATTTAAATATCGATCATATTTAAATATACGCCCCTATCATACTGTGATGATGTCCTGTCCGGCCAGAGCGATGATTCAAAAACATGAAATATTAATCTATATATTATTTATATATTAATATGTATAAATGTTAAAAAAATTTAAATGTTTAAATGCATATGGATTCCACTTTAGGACCTTAAACATAAACAAAAAAAGAAATTAAAAAATAGATACACAATAAAAAACAGTAAAGTCAATCTCAACAAACATGAGGGTTAAAAACCGGGTGTATGCTGATGGTGAATGAAATCCGCTGGGATGCTGCATCAGTGCACTTCTCCAGACAGGAGCTGGGTGGAGGATGAAGAGAAGAGGGGGGAAGAGGAGGAGTGAGTGCGGGTGGGGGCAGCACACACTGCTTGATCCACAGCCAGAGGAGATGAAAGGAGCATCACCACAGCCCGCAGTTTCTCCTCCTGCTGCTGCCGATGCCTGCAGAGCACAGAAACTGGAATAGATGAGCTACACGCTTTGCATTTCGACTGTTTCATATGAAAATTTCATGACCCAGCTAACATGCCTGATAGTTCAGAATAATGTATCAGCACTACATATGTTGCAAATAAGTGGTATTTACATACCACACATATACTGCTGTGCTCTTCTTTGGAGGTGGTGAGTTAAATGTCTGTGCTAGTTCATCATCTTGCTAAGTCCATACACATGCGCGCAGCAGCCCAAGCAGTAATTTAGTATGTGGCCAGGGTTAGGCGGAGGAACGTGCACAAGTATGGTATTTTTCTAGCCCCATTAAACAGCGGGAGAGATTCCAGTCTCATTAGCATTAACAAAAAGCTGCAGCATAGTGGTCAGTATTTTAAAGCTGAAAATATAGACTTTGGATCTTTATGCAATAGCAAGATCCTCTCTCAGTTTTTATTTTTTATTTTTTTACCATTTAAATTTGAATGTGCTTTATTGATATGACGAATATTTTTCACAAATATATTATTAAAACGATCCAAAACAACATACATAACAATACAATACTCAGTTAGATCACATCAAAAAACATTCAAATCATTACATTCAAATCTTCATGTTCCCTTGCCTGCTATGTCATTCACCTGTAGCAAAACATAATTACATAAGAATCATAGTGATTTGTAGTTAGTGGCTCAGAATTTGACTCAGTGGATTATTTCATTTACATAATTCTAATTAGTCTGCAGTTCCACATAGCCACCTGGTCTGAAGTGATAAAGGGAGAGCAAGAACATGTATGATTTGCAGACTACTGCTGCTCTTTGAATACAGTATGAAGGATTTAATAGGCTGGCATTAACAAAGACAACTGTTCTAACTGTGTTCTAAATTAGTGGTTCTCTACAGATTTCAAAAGCTTGAGGAATACTGTTTCTTAATTTAAACTAGTCTCTTGTATTGGTTCCCACTGATCAACAGAAGACAAAGAGAAAGAACGTGTCTGGTTGTTTTTAGTTCTGCTCTGCACATAGAACAGTGTAAACCAATGGACTGCACCATTAAAAGAATGAAGGCCGACCCCGACTTTTAAACTCTGACCCCACAAGGGGCCACATTCCTTTACATGACCTTTTCTTGAAACAGGTCCTCTTCACATGGGGTTCAGTGGCCCATTGGTGTTCACTCTACTCTCTCTGAGAAGATCTGAAGACTTGAAAGGAACCTGCAAGAAACAAGATGAAACAAGAAACAGTATTTAAGGAAAGTGCACTTTAGCAGTATGTAATAATACTGAAATGTTCAGTCTTTTAATGACACCAAGCACGATGTAACAAGTTTCCAGCAACAAGCAGTTTGTCTGTGGCAAATTCACAGCTAGCCAAAATACATTTAATATTTAATGTACAGTTATGTAAGCAGGAATTTGGACCAATGAGATTTCACAGTGGGTGGGGCTATAATTACACAATGGAGCCAATAAAATGTCCTTCTTTGTTATATAGTAGGCAAAATAACTATGTGAAAAGAGTAGTATGTCAGAATTCATAGTAACCATAAAAACAGCAGGCGAATTTATGCAGATGACCTTCTATTTCTGTCGAAATTCCAAAGTGCAAATCCAATAGACACTTAACTATCCAATGAGGCCACATGAGAGGAGTTCTGAATGGCAGTGAAGTGACACAATGGTTGACATTGGTCACATGACAATGTGATCCATACTACACACATTCATACTATATAGAACATACTTTTTTTATGGTCACAAAGTAATTTCTTATACAAATGTGGTATACTCAGACAGGCGATTTTGAATGC